AGTGCCACGATAGCCGCTTTGCGCCCTCAATCTGGCTAGCAAACCGACCCGACCCAATCCCCCAATGGACACCCCGTATTAAGCTGGCACATCGGTTGCAGCAAGTTGTTCAGCTGTTTCACATCAGCAAGGGACGCAACCCGTCTAAGGGTGTAACAATGATATCACTAATATTAATGATTATTATATTTATTGATCATAACATAGCTAAATATTTGTGCTGAGATTATTCGGGTTATAATTTAGTTTTGTAATATTTAGTACAACGCCTCTTTCTCCCATCTTTCCTACGTACCCGACTTTCCTATAATATTCAGTGCAACCTCTTCCTTCTTTCATTTATTCCCGACCTTCCTACATTCACCGCTTATAAATTTTGTTTGTCTGATGTTCTTGTAAATCTATAGTGGTATTTCACGTGTTTTTGCCGTAAAAAGTACCACTTACTGTGTTATATCGTGTTTCTCAATGTTACGTGTAAATTAATGTTAGCTAGTGCTTATACATTGACGTGCTGATTTGTTTTGAGCCACCCCGAAGGAAGGAAGGGAGGGAGGGGGGGGGTATGAATAAGGTTGCTGTCCATCCTGCAGGGCTGCAGCTCTCCTACAAGTGGGGTGGGGGTTCCACTCGTACGCCACTACCTGGTTTTTATTTTGTCCCTTGTCCAGCTTTCAGTAAGGCAGTCGTTAACTATACAAAATTAAAGTGTTAAGGACGTCCTCGCTCAATGCTGGACAGTGTGCAATTAATTATCTGTTTTGAGAGTTGTGATTCTGTGCTTAGAATTACTACAAGTATAGGTATTTATCGAGCAAAAATTGAAGCTTCACTTTAATCAAATTGTGCTCAGTAGGGTCTAAAAATTCGACAGTGAATCTTGTGTATTATCTAGATCTATGCATATTATATTTGTGAAAGTTCTTCACTTTCGCCGCCTAAAATTTCGAAACCACTCAACTTTCGAATTTGAAAATTAAAAAAATAACAGTGGTTCAGAATCATTTAAAGGGTGCACAGTTTTACTGGGGAGTCTGAAGTCATTGTAGTTTATTTTTCAGTTTTTCATTAGTTTCGTTTAGATCTAATCTTGGGAAAGTCCGTCTTCAAAGACGCCATTGTAAACAAGTGAGGCTTCCGTTCACAATGAGTGCGTGCACTAATCCCACACCTTTGAAATTCTGGAGTGTACAACCACGAAAGCGGAACAAGGAATCAATCTATACATCTCTATATTATTATCTAGACCTTCTAATTTTGTGCATCTCTCAAACTCAAAGTTTATTGCTCCATTCCAGTAGAATGTAAATATAGTAGGCCAATGATGTTATTGTTAATGCTCCGATCATTCCTTTCATCGAAAGGGGGTCCAGCTAGTTATATACATGTATATGTAAGGCTCTTTGACTTGTAGCAGGTGTAGCGATTAGGCACTTGTCTCTCTCGATCCAAGTTTGCTTTGAATCTTTTTTTTATTTTTAGAATATATTTTTAATACCTCCTGAATGATCTAAGTTATCTCTTCGGGGGACATAAAACACGTACATAAGAAAATCCTCTGCATAGGCATTGGTGGTCACTGTCAGTCAGCCATTGACAGACGGCAGTCTATTATAATTATTTTGGTCGTCAGTGTGTTTTCTCTTTGACCCAAATTAGTACGTACTTACTTACTTACTTACTTACTTACTTACTTACTTACTTACTTACTTACTTACTTACTTACTTACTTACTTACTTACTTACTTACTTACTTACTTACTTACTTACTTACTTACTTACTTATTTACTTACTTACTTACTTATTTACTTACTTACTTACTTACTTACTTACTTACTTGGAGTTGGGGAATAGGCATCATTGCAGGCGGCACAATGCCATAGCTGCTCCTCCCTCCTCTCCAGGATCCATGAAAGGGTTTGCTTGCAGATCGTGCCAGTTATCAGCTGGTGGGATATTGTTCTGGCTTTTCCACGCAGGTTGCTGTCTCTCCCCGACCCTCTAGACACACCAGCTTCCCTCAGTCTTTCCACTGTGTGTGATGTGTTGCCTTCTTCCTCTCTGTGGTCGTTGAACCATGCTGACCCGAATTAGTATTCTGGTATAGTTAAAACAGCTGTCAATATGGTGTGTGCTGTGTGCTGTACTAAGCTGTTGTGTTAGTGTAACAGATAAATGTGCCAAGTCGTCCACAAAAACTTTCTGATTATTGTCACTACTGACTGTCAGTACTGTCAGCCTGCTCTGCGATACAATTTAGATGCAGTACCATCAGGATGCAAGACGATAAGCGCTTCAGATGCAATTCAATAACGATGTTGTGCGAGAAAGAAACTGTGATAAAGATACAATACTATAATGATAAAGATACCATGTGATGAGGTTGATTATGAAATAGAAGTAGTTCAATGAAGATGAAATACAATGAAGACTTAATTAGAGGATAACACTGCTATATGGTATACGTTATAGATGCAATATGATATAGATTATAGATGCAAAATGATAATGATATATAAATATGATATAAATTATAGATCCAATATGATATAGATTATAGACGCAAAATAATATAGATTATAGATGCAGTATGATATTGATGTACTGCAGTGGGAATACACAATACTGTTATATTAAATACAATTTTTTACAATGCAAAATGGTAAGATGAATTTTGATAAAGACGGAATAGTGTGGTAAATTTGCAAATGAGAAAGATGCAATTCAATCATATACAATGCCATGAAGAAGATGCAATACATTTCTGTGAAGCTGGTTGTTGTCATTGGAATGTTTCCTCACATAAGCTGACACTGACAAGTGAAGGCTATAATCCATTTACAACTGAAATTATCTATTTTGTATTAGGATAATTTGTTCATATTATGTTTTTTATGTAGCGGGTGGTTAGAGGGTGCCACGGGTAGGTCCTACTCTTTTTTTTTACTTTCCTCGTGTCAATTCTGTCCGTCTGTCTGTCTGTCTTATTTTTTCCCAGCACTAAATGACCATTATTGTGTCGATTTACTTCTCTTGCCACTCAAGTTTGTGTCAGTGAGACCATTTCTGTCACTCCCTTTCTTCTTTCTTCCTAATTCTTAAGGAGAACATAAACCACAATTTGTCGCTTTTAAGGACAAGCGGGCTAACCCAGATTTTGGGGGTTTCCAGAAGTCTTGACCTGCACCAAAAGTGGGCATTGTTCTACCTATAGGAGAAGTTTGGTTTCATTGGTGTGTGTATTTGTTTCGCTATAGAGAAAACTCCCCATGTCTTTAAAAGAACCTGAACAAGGGGCAAAAACTTTACTTTTAGTTTTCTCAAAACTTCATTTTTCGGGATAGTCCCCTTGTGCTTAAAAGCGACCAATTTACAATTATAGCAGCCAAATCACAGATGGGATATTATGTATGGCCGTTTAAGATTTATGTGTCGGTTTGGGTGCTTTCTCGAGACAAACAACATAATTTGTCTCATTCAAAGGTAATAATACGGAGATTATAAGACTGTTTTAGACTATCACATTGATCTTGCCTGTAGTAATTTGAACTTTCATGTTGTTATACTATTAATATTGTCACTGCATGTGCAATCTTTTAGTTAGCCATCTAGCTTTCTGAAGATGATTTCGGACGCACTGTTTATCATGAACGAGCTACTTTTCACGCAAATTTGACAGCTTGTAGAGACTTCAGTTCTTGTAAATTTTGACTTGTTTTCATGTTTTATCTTAGCTTGCATAAATCTGATTGCGTTTTATCACCATCACTATCATCATCATCATCATCATTGCCTACGAGGTTATTGTCATCATCATCATCATCATCATCATCATCATCATCATCATCATCATCATCATCATCATTATCGTCATCGTCATCATCATCATCATCGTCATCAATCAGTCTAATAAAAATGGATTATAATAATGTTGACGATATTAATAATAATATTAAAATATGAAGAAGAAGAGTCATGTTTGAATTACATGTAAATAGAAACAAGGGCAATGGGAAGCTGTCATCATATAACGTGTTTTTACCAGAAATATACGCTGTGAGTATTACAAACAAAAATACTGGAATCAACTTATTACAGTTCTGCATCTTATTAGATGTGTGCAGTATCCTGCTTTGTGTTTGGTATCCTTTGGTTTTTATCCCATTTATCTTTGGGGGAAAAGAAAGTGTTTAGAAGACTACGCTATTGGTATTGTCGGTTTTTTATTTGTCTTTTTTTTGTTGGGTTTTTTTTGGGTGGGGGAGGGGGTGCTTCTTTTGTTAGATTTGTATTTTATGACTTTGTTCTTTTTTTTTTTTTTTTAGATTTATATTTCATAGGTTTTTGTTGTTGTTGTTGTTTTAAGAGTTATATTAATGATTTATTCAGCAAGAATGTTACCCTCCATCTCTTCTCCTCCAGCTTCCGAAAGTGAGTGACCAGCCTGCCACAGGCTCAGAGTCCGGGAGCCCGGCCAAGACCCCGGGGGCGTCGGCTGCCACGCCGGAAGTGACCAAAGCAGACGGCGGAGGACAGACCAGCCCCGCCAGCCCCTCGGAGGACGAGAAGCCCAAGAAAAAAGGAGGATTTCTGAACAAGAGCAGAAACATTTTCAAAAAGTTTACCAGATGAGGAGAGTGATTAGATTTGAAACCGTTTGTGTAGTGTGTGTTTGGTCGTTATTATGATGTGTTTTTTAAAAGGCGGAGAGGGAATTGTTCGTTTGGTTGTTTTCTGCGCAGCGAAAGTGTGAGAAAAGGATGTAGAGAAAGTGGGAATGAGAAAGGGTTAAGAGTGTTGATGATAGGATGAACAGAAGCATTGTTTGCCTCGAGTACGCTATTTATAGACAAGTCTTCTGTTCTGCTTCTGTCTCAGAACAGTTTGTAAATTAACAGGACAGAATCTTGTCGTGGTGTTTTCAGGGAGGAAGAAAGAGAGAGAGACTGAGAGAGACTGAGAGAGAGAGAGAGAGATAGAGAGAGAGCGATATTGGTATTTAATAACTCCCTTGACATTTTTTCTCTTTTTAATAATGGAGACTAAGGGTACAGCGGCGCCGAATGTTGGACTGTGGACAAAATTAAAGTCAATGACTAATCTCGCTCAACAAATTAACAGTGGAAGAAATAGAGGAATCCGTGAGGCATCGTGGTAAAATCAGGCGCTCGTCATAATAATCAAATCAAAGAAACTGGCATTTTTCTAGGCTTTTGGCAATTTCATTTTGAATTTGCTGTTTTTTGGCTCAACGCCTTTCATGTCCTTTTAAAAACACATCTCATTGTTGATTTTTCTGAAAATCATTGATTAAAGGCACAAAAAATGTAAATTTACAGTTTCTAAGGACTGTCGAGCTTTTGAAACTTTTGCAGCCATTTTCTCGTTAATTTTACCTCTGAAACTAGGCGACCCCCACCTTCTTCAATCGCAATTCTCTCAACTTCTATTCATGACTGATGAGTGTTTTCTTCATCGGAAGCAAGACAAATGAACAAGCTTTAAAATGATACCAATAAATCTACATGTCCAAAAATTGACAAGAGCCTGATTCCACTGCGTCGTGACACAAAGTGTCTTGATGGAGGCGTAAAACACTTTCAATTAAAAAAAAAAAAAAAGAAACCAAAGTTCCTCTTGCGATATTGCTGTGTTACTTTCATCACAACCCCTCTCCATTGTTGCGGCCAGTGTTGTGTCCAGCTCTGTTGTATCCTCTCCTCCTCTCAACCCACCAACCCCCACCCCTACTCACTACCCACCACCCAACCCTCACCACCCCCACCCCCTCCCAGCCCTCTCGCTGGACACATTTGGCCCTCCTTGGGTACAGACCTGCAAAAAAGAACCGAACCATCTGGTCTGTCTCCTTACATTGCGGAGGCCAGCTGAGATAGACGTCCCAACATCATTGTCTAACATCTGCTTCGGTGTGGTGTCCATCTACCCAGAGCTTTGACCCAGTCTCCAACAGTGTCTCTGGCATCTCAAAAATGTGATGAAATGATGTCATAAAACACATAAATTGAGCACACAGCTGACAAAATGTCTCTGACACTTATGCCACACACTGACATGATGTCACTGACACTTTTGCCACACACTGACATGATGTCACTGACATGTGTGCACACACTGACATGATGTCACTGACATGTGTGCACACACTGACAGGATGTCACTGACACTTGTGCCACACAGTCACTGACACTTGTGCCACACAGTCACTGACACTTGTGCCACACACTGACATGATGTCACTGACACTTATGCCACACACTGACATGATGTCACTGACACTTATGCCACACACTGACATGATGTCACTGACACTTGTGCCACACACTGACATGATGTCACTGACATGTGTGCACACACTGACATGATGTCACTGACACTTGTGCCACACAGTCACTGACACTTGTGCCACACACTGACATGATGTCACTGACACTTGTGCCACACAGTCACTGACACTTGTGCCACACAGTCACTGACACTTATGCCACACACTGACACGATGTCACTGACACTTGTGAAACATACTGACATGATATCACTGACACTTGTGCCACACACTGAAATGATGTCACTGACACTTGCGATATGCTGATGTCACTCTGACATTCACCATTACCTATGAAACCGGCGACCATTCCTTTACCTTTTTTTTTACGCGTTGTTCGTTTCCAGCTAAGCAATCCTTGCTCACAACAAATTTATTGGCCATGTGAATAAACATATTTTTTGGCCAAACCAGATACTTTAAAAATTTGTTCTATGAAAGAACTGTAAAGTTTGTTTCCATATAAAATACTGTTATACTTTTTCAAGCTAGATGCTGTCACACTGTTAAAGCCACATGCTGTAAAGATTGTTGTAATGGCTTTGGAAAAATTTTGCACACGTCTGGTCATCGTAGATAGTTCCACCTTGTCGCTTGTGTGTCCCTAATAAATGTGCCAGGATCTTGATTGCGTGTCTGAAAATTATGTACTCTTTTTCCACTCAAAAGTTTTCGAATTCTTCACTCCTTATGCTTGATCCTTGCCAAAGTTGTTACAGAAATCATGTGATAACTTTTCTCGCATCAGTCGGTTGGGCAGCTCCTCGGGTTAAAATTCACAAGGGGCTGTGGGATTACTGGCGTTGTCTGGTTGTATATCAGCAATGGATAATCTGTTTGGTTGTTTGTTTCTTTGGTTTAAGGAGGGGGAAGGGGGAAGGAGAGTTGAGTAATAATTCTGCAATTTTATTTTTTTATAATTTTTTTTTATAATTTTTTTTTTTTTTTTTTTGGGGGGGGGGGGGGGGTGGGGTTGTCAACAATGGTTCTGGGTGTTTCTCTTTTACACTACTGGCATCTGTGGTGTGGTGGCTAGTAAGTGCTTCATGGTCGCACTCAGGAGATCCAAGTTGGATTCTCAAGTGGGGAAGATTTTTATTGAGTGTCTTTGTCTTTCTGCTGAGATGTTGTATCTCTCTCTCAGCTTAATATGTTGGCCCTGACATGCATGCCTCCTAAATAATCTAAATGTGAGGCAGCGTGGTGGAATCAGGCTCTCGTCAAAATAATCAAAGTGAAGAAACTTGCATTTTTCCGCAGGTTTGTGAATTTTTACCAAATTTTTGTTTATTGCCTCAACACCTTTCATGCTATTTAAAGAACTCATTTATGTGTGGATTTTTCTGAAAAACCTTGATTAAGGACAGAAAATGTAAATTTTTAGTTACCTCGGACTCTTAAGCTAAGGAAATAACTAACGTTTAGTGGCCATTTTCTCACAAATTTTACTTCTGAAAACAGGTGACCCCGACCTCCTTCTTTCGGAAATATCTCAACTTGTATTCAAGATAAATGGATACATTTTTTCTTCGAAATAAAGACAAGTAAACAACCATTAAGAGGATACCAATAACTCTACATGCCCCTAAATTGACGAGAGCCTGATTCCACCACGCTGCCTCACATATTGTGTCTATGGGGGCGTAAATAAGAAACAAACAACAGCAAATAAAAAATCTTCTATATTTCTGTAATTTTGAGTGTGTGTGTCCCTCCTTCCCCCCCCCCCCAAAAACAAAAAAAGCATATCCCTTTTCAAAATGAGGAGAATCCAAACGTCGGGGACGGATTTGTTACGATGGGGGCGTTACTACAAAAGAAACAAAAAGTTCTTCTACATTATGTCAAAATTTGACCTGTAATTTATGCTTTGTGACTTTTAGAAATAAAATAAATAAAGTAAATTATTACACTTTTATTTGTCCCAGAAGAGCACTTTGTTTTACAATGGCAAACATACATACATAAATACATAATTATAAATACGTACATACATAAATACATACATGCATAAATACATACATAAATACACACTATTACACAAATACAGAACAGTTTACAAACAATGCCACAAAGAGCTCTCAATTCATTCTTCTCTCGGCCCATAACCTTTTATAAAGAAAAAAAAATGCTTCGTAAAAGGTTTTTTGAAAAATGTGTAGCAAGGCCTTTAGCTGTCTGTTGAAATAGCTGTTTGGATACAGTCCCGCCTGCTATTCACAACACGTTTTTGCAGGCTGAACCTTACAAAACTTAGGCTTCTGAAAGTGTCCAACCTTTTTTTTTTCCTTTGACATCTGCAGCTTGTGGTAGACTGCTGATGGTGAAAGTGAGCATAATATTTGAATTGATCGAGGTACTTCATGGTGGGCTGGTTCATTTTCCTTTTCGCTGGGGGTTTTTTGTTTTGTTTTGTTTTTTGGGGGGAGAGACATTCGTTATATTTTTTTAATTAATTTTTTGGTTCTTTTAGTGTACACTTTTATCTTACCTCAGTTCTTGTACTGAAGTTGAGGTTGCTTTTTCAATTCAGAGCTTCATACCATAGATCTAAACTGTGATGTTCTTGAACAATTGTGGTGAAAGTGAAAGCTGTGGATGTTTACGACAAAGACATTGAGGACAGAAGTGATATATTTGTACAAATGTGGGACAAGAATGACGATAGTTGTATGTGTTTATGATAACAACACTGATAATTAAATATTTTGTGAGTTTATTATTTGTCACAATGACAACAAGGACTGTGTTATGTTTGTATGAGGAGAAAGACTATAGTTTAGTACGATTACGACAACAAGGATTATGTTATGCTTGTATGAGGAGTAGACAATACATTAGTACGACATTGACAATAAGGACTATGTTATGTCTGTGTGACGAGAAAGATGATAAGTCACTAAATGACAAGGACTATGCTATGTTTGTATGACGAGAAAGACAATTCGTTAGTTCGATTATGTCAACAAGGACTGTGTTATGTTTGTATGACGCAAAAAAACGATACGTCACACAATGACTATGACGACCGTATGTGTGTTGACAATGAGGATGATACGTTTGTTGTATCATTTATGGCAGTTGTGTGATCTACGGCTACACATGTATACAATTATGATCAAGGATGTGAATGTGTAGTGTGTACGTCAATTGTGAGATTACGTTGGGTTGTTTTTTTCTGCCATGTGACCTCAGGTGATTGTTTTATGGTACTTTGTGTTTGTGCTATGTCGTATAAGAGGTCATTAGCACAGCAGGTGGTTGATGGGCATGCAAGTGTGCTCTGCTCCTTCTACTTCTTTGCGCTGTGTTTCTATTGTCTTTGTCTTACGTGAAAATATGTGAGAGTTAAATTAAGAATGGACTCATTGTAAGGGAGGGACTGCTTTACTGCTGGACATCTGTCTCTCATAGCTCATCATCTTTTTCAGTTTAACCACGAGCAGTAGAAGTCATGAAACCGATCCTAACCAGAATGCTTCTGTGTGTAGTAGAACGCAGAAATATGTCTAATATGTGTGTCTATATTTGTATTTGACTGTGTATGCGTGTGCACAAACGTCCTGCCCCAACCGCCAACCCTTCAATGCTTTATAACGATGGATGTTGAAGTTTTGACCTTTTAGTTCACCTAATTGTTTAAACCATCTGTTGCTCAACTGTAGTTTATCCCGGCGTGTTGTACAGCTTAAGTATATTATGTCCGCTTCTGATTTCAGATTTAGCAACAGCAAAAAAAGATCAGACTTATGATGACATCCGAAAGTCTTTGACCTGTTAAAAATCCATTTGTGAGGCAGCATGGTGGAATCAGGCTCGCGTCAAAATAATAAAAGTGAAGAAACTTGCATTTTTCCGCAGGTTTGTGAATTTACATCAAATTTTTGTTTTTTGGCTCAGCACCTTTCATGCCCACTAAAGAATTCATTTCTGTGTAGATTTTTCTGAAAAACTTTGATTTTAAGATGATACCAATGACTCTACCTGCCCAAAAATTGACGAGAGCCTGATTTCACCACGATGCCTCACATTTTATCCTGGCTTTATTGTTAGAGAGACTACTGCCTTTGTGTATAACTGGACGTTGCAGCAATGGATACTGTATTGTCTGATTGAGAGAATGACTGTTTTCTGGAGAGGAGCACAAAGTTTTCATGTTCTCGAAGCAGTTGCATGAGTCAACCTTGTTGTCCGTTCTGTTAGCCGTGTAATTTACACATATAACCTATTGTGATAACCGTCTGTCTGCGGAGAAC